ACTCCACAAAAAAAAAAAAGAAAAAAGAAAAGAAAAGAAAGAAAGAGAGAAGGGAAGAGAAGGGAAGGGAGGGGAGAGGAGGGAAGGGAGGGGAGGGGAGGCAAGGGGAAGGGAGGAGAGAAGAGGGGAAGGGAGGGGAGGGGAGGGGAGGGGAAGGGAGGGGAGGAAAGGGAGGAAACGTAAATGTGGAACCTGTTGCCTCAGCTGTAAGTTGGGTACCTGGCCGATACAGGCATTCACTAAAAATTTACTGAAAAAATTACCCAAGGGGGGATATAAGCTCCAATTTAATAAAATATACAAACAAAAAAGTATCCCTAGGGCAGAAAAGAGCTGAGGAAGTACTAGAAAAAGAGGCAGTAGAGCCCCACATGGGCACTCAAGGAGTACATCCAAAATTTTGACTTTCTGTACTTTAACAACAGTTTTTCCTCCAGAATTGCTGGGGTAGCAACTAGAACGTGACAGACATTGCATCCTTTCCCCTTTGAAGGCCTCAGTTTCCTCCTTCTGTTTTGTTTTTTTCTTTTTGAGACAGAATCTCTCACTCTGCTACCCAGGCTGGGAGTGCAGAGGTGCTCTCAGCTCACTGCAATCTCTGCCTCCTGGGTTCATGTGATATCCTGCCTCAGCCTCCCAAGTACCTGGAATTACAGGCATATGCCACCATACCTGGCTAATTTTTGTATTTTTAGTAGAGATGGGGTTTCACCATGTTGGTCAGGCTGGTCTCGACCTCCTGACCTCAAGTGATCCACTTGCCTCAGCATCCCAAAGTGCTGGGATTACAGGTGTGGGCCACTGTACCTGGCCAGGTTCCTTGTTTAAATGAGAGGTTAAACAAATAATCTGAGAGCCCTTCCAGTTTTGGCAGGCTTTTTTATTTTTTCTTAGAGATAAGGTCTTACTGTCGCCCAGGCTAGAGAGGGGCACGATCATAGCTCACTGCAGCTTTGACCTCCTAGGCTCAAGGATCCTCTCGCCTGCCTCAGTCTCCTGAGTATCTGGGACTAGAAGTGTGTACCATCACATTCGGCTGATTAAAAAAAAAATTTTGCCACGTGTGTACCTATGCAACAATCTTGCATGTTCTTCATATGTACCCCAAAACCTAAAATGCAATACAATAAATAAATGGGAAAAAAAATTTTTTTTTTTTGGCCGGGGTGGTGCCTCATGCCTGTAATCCCAGGATTTTGGGACACCAAGGCGGGTGGATCACCTGGATCAAGAGTTTGAGACCAACCTGGTCAACGTGGTGAAACCTCACCTCTACTAAAAATACAAAAATTGGGCCGGGCGTGGTGGCTCACGCCTGTAATCCCAGCACTTTGGGAGGCCGAGGCGGGTGGATCACAAGGTCAAGAGATCGAGACCATCCTGGTCAACGTGGTGAAACCTCGTCTCTACTAAAAATACAAAAAATTAGCTGGGCATGGTGGCGCATGCCTGTAATCCCAGGTACTCAGGAGGCTGAGGCAGGAGAATTGCCTGAACCCG